TGAAGATCATAAAATCAAAGGATTTTGTATCCCCAGTATCTAACTTACAGCCTGGTACTAACAATTAATGTTCATTGTGGTTTGTTAATTTAATTGCAATAAAATAGTGGATAGTGTAAAGCAATAATCAAAAAAAGGAAACATTCTAAAATATGAGAAGGGATTATCTCCAGTGTCGAAATTTTGGTTGATTCATATTTTCTTATTTATGCCTTTCGGTATTTTCCAAGCATTCTGTAATTAGTTCATATTTCTTATGCAAATTACTTAATTTCTTTTCTTTAACAATAAAAAAATTCCCCTGTGCAAAAAGCTTCTATTTTCTTCAAGAAAGGACAAAAAAAACAAAACAATGATGGCCAATGCTATCACATATTATAATTAAAAACAAGAGCAGAAAATATATTTCTTCAAAAAGCCCTAAGCCTTTGAGTTTTTCCTCCAGTTTTCTCATCCTCCATCACACCTCTGAAGTTTTAGTGCCATACCAACCAAGAAGCAGGAAAGAAAGAAAAATAGAGACATCCTTCTGAGAAGATGCTTCTTTCCAGCTCTATCTCCATCCTCGTTCTCTTCAGAATATCTAAGGACATGCCTCTTTTTCACTTTTCCATTTACCATCCTATTACACGATTGCTTATTTAGCTAAAACATTAACTTTCATAATCCTACCCAAATGAAATGAATTCGGGTTTCAATGAAATGACCTTCAAAACAAACACAGTAACAGGCTCATGCCATATTAAGGGCTGTAACATTGGGGGTGGGGGACTATGGTTAGGGAGAAAAGTATATAAAAAACTTAACCCAAGCTTATTCATTATTCTCCCAGTTGAACAGTAAGCCACCATTTGGAATAGAAATCATTACTTGGTAGTATAGGTCACATACACCTTCCATTGCCAGTATGTTTTTTCCCTTTCTTAACTAAATAACGCCATTAGGAAAAAGTTTAAATTTAGGTCACTATTCCATTCAGAACTAGAAGTTTTCTGGCAGAAAAGGATAAAATGGGAACTAAGCTTAAAGTTTTCTAAAACTGAAAGACATGAAAGAATAGTAAAATAATTAATTTTGGAGGAAGCATTCGGAATGCATATGACTGGATAAAGAAGAAAGCTAAGAATTAATAAGAAACTAACAGCAAAAGAGGTAAGTCTAAGGGGTAGTACTTAAAAATTTCACTAAATACGTAACAGCCCCCAGTTGGAATCTAACTATAAACAGCGACATAAAAATCAGGGTGTGGCTCTAATAAAATGTTTACTTTACCTTTCTAATTTGCTGTAGAGTGCACACAATACATTATACTTCTTCAACAGTCTTGACATAGCATTATCAACTTTGGTACTGGTATCAATTTCTTTTAGTAAGTCAAAGAATTTATAGACACTACAAATGAAAGAATAGAAAACGGTAAATCAGTAACTTAAATTTGTTTTATTTCATTTTCAAATAATAGACATTTCAGTTCAAAAGATTATTAGCTCTACATCAAATTTATATTATATCCTTTGAAAGGAATCACTTTTTGCATTTTACTAGAATTTGAAGGAGAAAAAAACAATTAGCCTTCAGCTTACATTTCTTTATCTACATACCTGTTCTTATACCTATTTCTCATTGAGAATACAGAAAAAAAGAAGGGTCATGAAGAGACACATACATACATGTATATTTATTTCTTTATCTGTCTATAGGTTTTAAAAAACCATGAGTTCACATTCATTTATACAATTCCAACACAAAACCATAAAGTTCATTCTAGTATTTCCCTTTCCGATTTATAACTCTTCATCGACAGGAAAGAAACCTAGAACCCATTCATCCTTAACTTATTCACTAATTTAACTAATCCCCCTATAAGCAACCGTCTTCCATCTCCAAAGCTACCCACTCCCCCATGTGGACACTCTTCTCTTCCACTCAGATTGACTCCCTATTCTAGACTGCCCCACCCTCCATGTGGACACCTTCGTCACCTTGGTAGGGCTCTGACTCCCCACACTAGGCTGTCCTCCTCCCCTCACTTGTGCTATGGCTCCCTGCACTGGCTGCCGACACACCCTGCGTGGTCCCCAACACTGCACACCAAGCAGCCCATGTCAGGCTGCTCACACACAAGAACACGCCCCCTCCATGTGGATGCCCTCCTCACCCCACTTTGGTTCTGACATCCTGCTCTCGGACCCATGGCACACCCCTGCCACAGATACACACCCAGATGCATACTTTCTTTGCCCCACCAATGGTTTTATGACTTAATTGCTTTCAGAAAAGGAAAGCTGATTAAAATTTTTAAGTTGTTTAAATAACTTTAAATCATTCTTTATTATTGTTTTCTATAAAAATTAACCTATCTGAAACATCAATACATACATTTTTCAATAGGGCACTAAAGACAGCAATTATCAATTGCATCTCACGTACTCATTTCTAATCAAGTTTGTGTAAGGAATTATACCAAAACAGCTAACTGAACCAAAGGGTAGTCACCAGATCCACCCATAGCCTGTCTAGCAACCAATGAGTTATAGCCCTTCCTCAAACAACTGGGCTGGACCAATCAGATACTTATCAAGAATTGGGAAAATAAAAGCCTCAGCTAATCAGCAGGAAACACGGAACCCAATAGAAGGTTATCAAAAGTTCTCAGCTGGGTGCGGTGGCTAACACCTGTAATCCCAGCACTTTGGGGGGCCAAGGCAGGGGGATCACTTGAGGCCAGGAGTTCAACACCAGCCTGGGCAATATTGTGAGATCCCATATCTACAAAAATAAAAAAATTAGCCGGTGTGTGCCTGTAGCCGTAGCTGCTCAGGAGATTGAGGCAAAAGGATCACTTGAGCCCAGGAGTTCGAAGTTACACTAAGCTATGATGTTGCCACTGCACTCCAGCCTGGGTGACAGAGCAAGCCCTGTCTCAAAAGAAAAAAAATAAAAAATTCCTATGATATAGAAGGGATTGGGACAGCCATGATAAGCTATGTGGAAAAGCAAATAAAGAAGAAGTAGAAATGATAAAGAGTAGAGAAGACTAGGATGTTGATTAGAAGAGAATGGAGCAAATGTGCAGATACATCCAGAGAAAAAGAAATCAACCTGAGGATGGCATTTATTAAAGAACTACTCTCAGTTCCAGTTTTTGAGGTACATGGCAATACCTGTCCTTGGAGTACCATGAAAACTGTGAATCGTTACAAAGAATTCTTTTTCTAGGGGCAACTTAAGGGAAGAATGGAAGGGAGTCATAGGCATTGACTCTATGAACTATTTATGTTATATTATTTTGTAATTTTGTATATTTATGAATATACAAGGCCTTTGTTTCCACATTTTGTTTATCATTATTATTATTATTTTTTAAAAGACAATGCCTTGCTGTGCCCAGACTGGAGTTCAGTGGCTATTCATAGGGGTGATTCCACTCAATGATTAGCACAGGAGTTTTGACCTACTCCATTTCTGATCTGGGCCAGTTCACCCCTCCTTAGGCAACCTGGTAGTCACCTGCCCACAGGAGGTCACCATACTGATGCTGAAGTTAGTGCAGACTCCCAATTAGCATAGTGCACTACAGCCTGGAACTCCTGTACTCAAGTAATCCTCCAGCCTCAGCCTCCGAAGTAGCTAAGACTACAGGACCATGCCACCATGCCTGGCTGTTTCCACATTTTACTTAGAGGTAATAAGAAAAAGCATTATAAAAATGCAACAATTTAATCTACTTTATTTAAATAAAACACCAATTATCCAATTATGTTTAATTCTAGATGGCTTTATCCAAGAAGAAATACAACTACCTATTCGGTAAAATTATTTACTGTTGCATTTTGTAAATATGATGCAAAGGAAATGACTGGAAGTCCTGAAAGATTTCTCAAGCTAAAGTTCATGAATTACTGAAAACAAATTAGTGAACTCTTCTTATAAGACTTGTAAGCTCAACAACAAACATTTATTAAGTATTAATAATTACTGGGCCAAGTATTGTAGTAGATACTCGATTGAATACATAATCTGAAAAAACCACATGTAATTATAGTATTTACTATATTAAAATAACCTTGAGTTTTAATAAATCTTATCTAAATTCCTTTAAGATAGACGCACACTACTTTTATAAAGGTTTTAATATATAACAAGCCTACTTTAGAAATCCTTACTGTTTTTTCACTTTATCAACAGCTACAATTAAGAAAGTTTACAGATAAATAATGAAAGATAGAATGAAAATTTTCCCAGAACACAATCTGCTGCATTTCTTCATTAATGGTTCCATGAGAGAATGACAGTTCATTATTTGACCTTTATGTATAACTTAATTTTAGCATTTCTCACTAATTCCCTACAGTCTATTAAGAGGAAAGTCTAGAATTAGTTTTCTTTAATGGCAGAAGCCTATATTTATTTTAGAAATTTTACCTGGTTTCTATGTTTTTCTGCAGCTCAGTAAAAGTGAATGGCATCTCATCTAGGTCGACTGCTGCAATAAAGATACAGATTCCCCACAGTTCCTTTTTCTTTTGAATATAACCTTCCTGGGAACAAAAAAATAAAGTTCAAGTATGTCATTAAATTATTCATACACTGGATACTGTGTTAAAACTGTATTATAAGTGATTTTTTTCTGATTCGGCATAACAAAATAAACATTTTAAAATCTTTATGAAGGCATATACTTGAAAGCATTTCATTAACATTCAATTTTCATATTATAAGGCAAAGAAAGTACTGGAAAGATCAAAAAGTTAAATAACCACTTACTATGGAAACTTCAGGGGTCAGTCAGCTCTTGGAAATAGTTTCATTTTTCAACAACCCAGTGTCATCAAAGCCAAGTTAAGAGATTTTAGACTCCATATATGTAACTTCTTTTGAAAAAAAACAAGCCCACTTTCTTATTCGATTCTTCTTCTTTTGCTCTAATTCATTCATTCTTTTATCAATTTACTCATTCAAGTATTTTTTAACCTTGTATAATTCATGTGTCTCAGTTCCTTAATTGCTTTCTGTGTAAAATCCAAATTATAATAATAATACACACCTCACTTTGTAAGAATTAAATAAGATTAAACTTACAAAACCCTTAGCATAATAGTGTCCAGCATATATTTAGTACTTAATGAGTGACGGCTATCATCACCACTAGAACACTTTTTCATTATCTTTAGAATACTTTTTTCCCCAACAATATATACTACCTTCAAAATATGTAAATTTTTAGGTAAAATTTGGATTATATTAAGTTGAAAGCAAAAGAAATGTCAAATTATCTAATGTTCTGCTAAACTGTTTGAACTACTTGCTTATTCTTAACTGGAGATTATAATAGAGCAGAAAAGAAAAGTATCTGATGGAATTTTACATTGTTTGAAATCTCAATTATATAAAAGCTTTAGGATAAATAGTTGTTATGGATTACCAAATTTTATGGATAATAACAAGTTTACCACCATCCAACTTTAAACTTTTCCTTACCTTTAGCTATTTGGGATATAAATATTTGACAACTTATATTACAATTATACTCACACTAGAACAGTTAAAATTTAAAAGACTGACAGTATCAAGGGTCGGTGAGGATGTAGAGCAATGGAACACTTAAACATCACTAACGAAAATGTAAAATGGCACAACTGTTTTGGAAAACAAGTCTGGCAAGTTCTTACGAAGTTAAATATACACTTTCCATAACACTTAGCAATTCCACTCCTAGATATTCATACTAAAGAGAAATGAACTTGGTATGTTGGTAGCAGCTTCATTCATAGTAGCCAAAAACTGGAAACAACCCAAATAGTCAAAAACAGGTACGTGGATAAACAAATTATGGTATATCCTTACAATGAAATGCTATTTGACAATAGAAAGGAAAAGTCCCAATAAATATAACAACATAGATAAATCTCAAAATTATTACACTGAGAAAGAGCCCGACTCAAAAGGACACACTGCATGATTCCTTTCATATGCAATTCTAGAAAAGGCAAAACTAATCTTTAAAATCAAAAGGTAGATCGATGGCTGCAGATTCCCCACAGTTCCTTCAGGGACCAGGCGGGAGGTGTTGGGGAATGATTGCAAAAGGGAATGAAAGAACTTTCTGGAATGATCAAAAAGTTCTGTATCTTAATGGTGGTGATTACATGGGTGAATGTATCAATATCTGTTAAAACACTGAACTGTGCACTTAAAATTGGCATGTTTTAGTGTATGTAAATTATACCTCAATTTGATTTTGAAACTATATTAAATATTACATACTCTTTCTGAAATTGAACAAAGTATACGCTGCTTCATTATTATGACTAATTAAATATATATTTTAATAAAATGAATGAACATTAACTTTTACATGTGTTCATATTAATATGATCAATTTCTCAGGAACTAGTAAGATGTGAAAGGTTGTTTGCCTGTGTAATAAATAACCCCACTACCATGTTTTTTGAATTTTTATGCTTACTTCTTATCACATTTTTGGTTTGCTTCTTTGCTCTCAGGCTGTTATCACCTATTGAACATAACTGCTCTCAACGCTTTCATCAACACCAGTCTTTCTTTTTTTTCTCTTTTAAAGGTTGAGAAATTAACTAAATTTGCTAAAATTAAGTATGCTGTTTATTCACTTTTTACAACAGTAAATTTTACTAGCATATTTATTAGTCAAAATAATTAAACACAGGACTATTTGATATGATAAAATGCCTAATGAAATGTTCTATAAATGAGTTCTGATTTTTAAAGAACTTGAAGGACTTTCCTATGAGTAAAATGTGACCTTTATTTCAGATACAGCTTATCTTTTTATTTTCTTAAAAAGTACATTTCAAAGAACAGAAGCTTTTCATTTTGATTAAGCTCAATTAATTAATTTTTTATGGATCATGCTTTCAATGGTAGTATCTATGAAATCTTTCCCTAACCCAAGCTCATGAAGATTTTCTCCTACATCATCTTCTAGAAGTTTAGGTCTATGATTCATTTTGAGTTAACTTTTATAAATTGTACAAGGTAGGGATTCAAGTTCATTTTTTGCATATGAATATCCAATTGCTACATCATTTGTTGAAAATGGTATGCTTTCTCCATTATCTCCATGTCTCTGTAGAAAATGAATTAACTACACACACACATACACACATATACACACGTGCATGCAAGGGCACACAAGTGTCTATTTTTGGATTCTGTTCTGTTCCATTGATCTATTTGTCTTTTTTTCACCAATACCCCAATGCCTTGGTTACTATAGTTTTATATGTTTTGTTCATTTTTAGTTGAGTTTTATTCGAGATTTTTCAATCTGAAAAAGTCAGCTGATTCACCTCTCGGATTAAGAAATTAAAAACTAGAGAGTTAGACTTTGTCAATATAGGCAGTCAATGCCAGAGACTTTTGGTTTCCTAACACTCAATTTAGTATTTTTCCATTTCATTAAGACTTTTTCCTTATTGCTTTGAAACACTTTTACATCCTCATTCTCTCTTCTTTTTCTCTCTCACAACCTTTTCAGTTGTGAAAAGGGGCTTTTTTCCACCATCTCTCTTTTCCTCAGCAATCTCATCTCCTCCCACAGCACCCTACCTTCGTCATCTCCATACAGTTGGTTCTCATGTCGCATTCCGCCTTCCAACCTGATTGTTTTTTTAAGTTCCAGGCCTTCTTTTCCAATGGCAATTTACAACCTAAAATCTGTAACTCATGTGTTTTCTTGAAAATTATGAAAAGGGCTCAGGATAGCACTTTAAAAATTGTCAAAACAGAAGAAAAGTGATTCTTCTTACCCAGCCAAAACAATCATCAAAAAGACACAGTAAAACATGGAGGAAAAAAATGGGTAAAGAACAAGCATTTTGTAAACAAACAAAAATCAGTATTTTTTAACAAACATTTTGAAAATGCTGAACCTCAAAATTGTGTCAACTAAAGGACATTTTGATAATATACATCAAGATCCTTAAAATAGCTCAGTTTAAGACTTGAGTCAAGATTTAGTGTAACAGATGTTTGAAGATTTATAATAGCAAAAAAATGAGAAAAGCCTAAATATGTCACAAAACGGTTAAATAAGTTGTGATAGACCTATATCCTGGAATAATATACAACTCCTAAAATGTTTTCAAAGAATATTATAAAGACAGGGGAAAATACCCAAGATACAATGTTAAGGGGGAAAAAACAGCAGAATATAAAATTCTATGTACATTTTGATTCCTATTTTGTGAAAAAAAACAAAAAAAGGAAGGGAAGGTAAAAAAATATATCAAAACGTTAATGATCATCTCTAGGTGGTAGGATTATAAACAGTTTTCATCTTCCTCATTAATCCCAGATACATATTCTAAATTATCTACAATTATAAAATAGGAGAAAAGTCAATAAAAAATGTTAAATTTATATAAAGTAAGAGAGAGAAAAATTAGGAATACTCTTGATCAAAATCTTAATTATATACATTAGTTTAAATCACAATCTACAATCAGCACTTGAAAAGGGTACCTATTATCCTATCATTTAGTTGTGTTCATTTGAACCAATCTGATGATACAACCCCTAATTAGTGACAACCTGTACTTACATTTTTACAAAGCACTTACTTATAAAAGAGCTCCACCAAGTGGTGACATGAATCATCTTGGAAACCTCAGAAAATTAGACATCAAAAAATTATTACTACTCATGTTATCATAACTAACATTATGAATTAACGGAATTATTAAATTGCAATTCTAAAAGTTGAAAACAGTATTTCTCTCTAGCCTGTACATTTGCGAAATATGAAAGGTGAAAACAAGCCATAAGAAATACGCTCTTTACCTCAGGGTCAAAGGATATATCCTTACGCTTAATTCATGAGACTGTAATAACTAACTAGAAATATGGTCACATTAAATGTATTATAGGGAAGTAGGAAAATAGGGGAAAGGGCTACCTTTATTTTCCACCCCTGGATTTTCTCATCTAGGTGATGTGTAGGAACAAAAGGAATAACATGTACATACGGCAGAAAATCTGCTCCCTCAGTTGTATAATATGAGCTGACAGAAATCGAGTGTGGACATCCTTGGTTGTGCACAGAAGTAAAAGGCAAGAGTGGCACAGCCAAGAAGAGGAATCCAAAAGTTAACCTTGCTTGTACTCAATCCCATTTTCGATACAACACGCAGGGGTAAACATCAGCTGAATCAGCCATCCAGTTATACAATATCTTTGTGGGGAGAAAGTTGATTCTACTCCCAGAAAAACACATACCTGGCAAGTTCAGATTTGCCTGACCATCTGCCAAAAAAGGTGGGCACCTGGGACTCCCTCCCTCAAGAACTCCTACGGAACTCAGCACATAGACCTGTCTAAGCTCATAACGGCACATGATTTATTTGCTTGCTTATTTATCCCTACCTCAACTAGCCTATAAGCATCCTGAACACAGAAAAATTGTAGCTAATTTGCTATTGTACCCCAAGAGCCTCATAGTGTCCAGCACTAACATGGTGTTAAATATATACAGATATAAATATATATTTTTTTAAAGCTG